CGCTGTTTTTAAAAGGATACATACATCGAAAAGTATTAGCAATATCCCAAGTTTTAGTACATTCGGCTGTTAAAAAGAGTTAAATATATCCGTGACTTGTCATATAACTTTTCTCGTGAATAATTTAAAGGCAACACTTACGTCTATTCCGTGATCTCTATATTCCAATCGATTAAATAGCAAATGCCTATACACTTGCGGCTTATGTAAAAGCATGTCAATGAAGATTATAACAAAATCGTGTTCCACATATTTGTCTGCGAATTTTTTGCATCTTTCCTATTACATTCAAATAGAAATGATATTAATATTTTTTCTTAACTCGCATCTTTCGTGAGTATGTTTGGAAATGATTATAGAATTTCAGGAATTAGATATCCCTCCGTTCGCGAGAAGAAAATTTCAAAATCGCTTACGCAATGGGTTAATCGAATATTTCCTTTACTATACTCTGTGTATAAGCTGGTCACTGACGTTCCGCATTCCACACATATTGGCATCTTTTTTAATTCGAGAATTCGACTTCGTGACGAAACAATATTAGCATAAATTGCATTTTGTATTTTTATTGGAGGTACGTAAATCGCGTCAAAATACTGGGTCATGTACTGATGGAGGATCCTGATATTCCAGCAGAAAAACCCTTTTTTTTTTTAATTATTATTTTAAATTAATTCAAATAATAGATTTTTATGAAAAATAAAAGCAAATATATTTAATATATATAAAATAAATATTTTGAACATAAATTATGCAAATTTTATTTAAAACTAATAATTTTTGAATTTTTCATATTGAAAAAATTTAATTTTTTTTCTTAATATCCCATAAAATTGAATTAGGCATTTTGTATCTTGTTTCTCTGTAAACAAAAAAAATATATCCTTTTCAATTATAGCACATCAAAATAACTCTATTCTTTATTAATTCGCAACGTACAACTTCAAAACTTAGAACTCGATTAACTAGTTAAGGTCATGATCATTCATAAGGTTTTACCAATAATTCCATTCTTTTGTAATTCCCTAATTTCATCTTCCCCTAGCCCTAAAAAATCCATCAAAATTTCTCGATTGTGTTGTCCTAAATCTGGGCCAGCCCATGTGGTTCCACCGGGTGTTGCGCTAAGTTTTGGCGTTATGGCGGAAAGCTATGTTGAATTATGTGAAATTGGTATTAATGAATTTCCATGGCATGCAATTAGTATGTACGCTATATACCTTAAGGTCCCAACCGCCGTTCTCCATGTTTTCACCTACTCTCACGGTTTCAAATAAATCACGCTTTCTGAAGTGTTCATCTTCAACAATGTCTTTAATGTTATATACAGGTGCACATGGGATTTCTTCCTTTTCTAATTTTTCAAGCACTTCCTTAGATGTGTGTTTTTTCGTCCAATCTAATATTGCGTTAATCAGCTCCTTATGTTGAATACTCTCCTTGTTTGCCTTACATTCCGCTGTAACGAGATCTTCTCTTTCAATTACCTTCATTAGCTTTTCATGTAGGAATTCGCCATCTCCATCTATAACAATGTATTTGGAATCCGAGCAAAGGTATGCATTATCAGTTGCAGAATTGCCGGCAGGTTGCCTTATCTATAAATATTTCGTGTTAATTTCAGCAATACGTTATCTACATGTGTGAGTAGATCTTTCAAACCTACCTCCCCAAACCGATCATATTCCGGCAGCACACCTTCCATCATATTAAGCACACTCTCATAAATGGCTACATCGATCTCCTGTCCTGATCTTGCGTTGGGAGGGAATTTCTTCCTTACCAAAAGACACATCACGATACCAAGGGCCGCAGTTAACCCAGCTAAGGAATCGCCTAAAGATAAATTCTGGCGCACAAGTGGCTGATCTCTAAATCTGTTAATATGCCGCCATCCCGCCACCGCCTTTAAAATACGAATTAATTAGAAAGAAAGTTTAAATCCCTTGTTCAATTACTTTAACACTTAATTTCAATTTACCTCGCACACTGATGCGAACCCTGGTCTTTTTGCATATGGACCCGTTTGTCCGAAGCCGGAAATGCGTGTATATACTATTGAGGGATTGGTTTTATATAGTTCTTCTATGAAAATGTAAATGCCAACATTAAACCAATGTGCATCCACTTTAATACAAATTCAAAGTAATTTGATTGAATAATCTTTTACCGGGGCCAAGTCCCCACTTCTCCATAACTCCAGGACGAAAATTTTCAATCAAAACATCACTCCTATCTGCTAATTGACGGGCAAGCCTAGAGGATTATCATTGTTACAATAAATGAAGCGCACAATCAGCCTTATATTTCTTTACTACAAATATTTTGACATACTTTCTTCCTTCCTCGGTTCGCAGGTTGATTTCGCACGATTTCTTATTTCTACCGATCGCCCGAAACCAAGGACTAACCCCATCGATATCGATTCCACGCAAGGCACGAACGGTGTCGCCTGTACCTGGGGATTCCACCTTTATCTGAAAAGTAGTACACGTCATAACTTTTGACTCAGGAAAAGAAAAGATGTTTCACCATATTTGGAACTTACTACTTCCGCGCCATAATATCTTATTTAATGACGTGCGTTAGTATAATTGATTGATGAGTTCTAACGATGCTTGCAAGACAGAATCGTTCTAAATTACCCAAGGATTGTTCCGCAAAACGGACCGGCGACTATCTTTGTAAGTATTATGAGAAGAGAATAAATTTATGCCACTCAAGAATAGATAAAATCTATAGAGTTTCATTATACCTGCCCTAGTTCCAAAACGCGAATTCCTTCTAATGGTTTTGGTGCGCTTGTCACCTGGGAATAACGTTTATTTGATACTATAGAAAACCGGCACCCATATTTATAAAATGAATAGTGACTAATTTAGTTCGATATTATCAAATATTACTTAATAATTTAATTCCATTTTCAGACAAAGTTCTCTTGAGGCCAAATATTACTTTGGAACTATCAATAATGGGCAACATTAGATTTCGTAATCAACAGTAGAAAGCTTTAATTCCTTCTGTCACGTGGAATTTGTAACACAGTCACTTGCAAAAAAATGAAATTTTTGTTATACACACACACCATAATCTCGAAATGGAGGATACGCCTGTCAATGCGGTACTTTTTAACGATATCATATTTCTTGCTGTTTGTTTCAAAACCTCGGATCTAACCATAATATGGTATCGAAAGGCCCACGCTTTTGCAAACGCGGCTGAGGAGTTCGCGGAAAAGGAACTTTGGGCTAAAGCCATGGAGGCCCACTTCCGTGCTGCTGGTATTTGTCCTCACACAGTAATCTACGTATAACTCTAAGGAAATATGTTATCGTTAAAACGATCACCATCCTCAATCATACACTCAAAATTTTGTGATCGATCTATTGTTGAAAATGTTTAGAACAGTTTCTTTCGGCGATGAACTATACCTCAGATCCGGAGGTACGAGACTTATGATTTCCACCTTTAACTCTCACTCAGTTACAACTTAACAAACATTCTGAATTGTCGTTAGGCGATAAGAACCTTAAAATTGCTTTATGCTAATCACACTCGACAAGGAAAGGAATTGCAACGTCGTTTAAGTCAGCGAGT